ACAAAATATGGAATGTGCTGCTCTGGGTGACCAGTGACAGCCCTGACCCCCACAAGGAACTGGCTGTTTGGCCACTGTGTGCCCAGCTCAGGGGAGGGAATAGCTCAAATAATAAAAATACCAGCTCTTTCCACCATGGGGGACAACTGATGGTAATCAAACTGGTAGCATTTTCCAGGACATGGAAGTGGCTGCTGCCATGTGATACAGAATAATCACTTTCTGTTTCCATCCATTTCTAAAACAAGCCACTTGTTCATCACTCTAATGGCTAAATAATAATGTAATTTTAGAAGAGTTTGCTACTGTAGTGACTAAGAAATTGCTGTGTGTTGATTTTATCAGAATTTTCTCATCCAATTGTACCATATAAGGTTCTTGATTGTGATTGCTGTTGTTATCTGGACTAAAACAGAAGGAAATACTCTGATTTGTTTCCAGAAAAATAGGCTATTTTGTAATTTTTGCTATAGCTTTGTCACTTTACCAAGACGGCAGCACATGTTTGTGTTGACAGATTGGCTTTTATACAATGTGTTGTATGCAGAGGTCCTGTAAGACAAATGGGGTGTTAAATAAAATATTGTTTCCCTTAAGTAAAAAACCCCTGTGTTTGAGGCATTATTATTTCCTGTGATGGCTTGCTGTGGAAGTTCCCTCAAGAGTGTTGGTTATGTTAAAGCCACATTTAGTCAGTGCTTTGCAAAACAAGGAGCAAGCCAAAGCCCCTGCTGGGACAGCAGCCTCCCAGAGGAGGAGGAAAAATGGAGACCTGAATTTTGAAGCCTGAGCTGGCTTCAGTGCTGAGCTGCTGAGTACTGGCACTTGCTTTTCCCATCCAAATTAAAACACAGCGGGCAGACCCTGATGCCTTGTTCTTTCTAATTTATGTGTTGCTCCTATTGCCTCTGGCACTGGTCACAGAAATCCCAGTCCTTGTCCTGAGCCCCATCCCTGCAGCTGTCCATGCACATGGACACAATGGCTGCTGCTCCTGTCTCTCCTGGAGAGCAGGGATCACATCCCTAACAGACCCACACCACCCAGGAAATAACAAGAGTACATAGTGTGTAAGAGGTCCTACAAGTATTATTTTATTTCTTCTTAATTTTTTTTTAAATACTATGTACAATCTGTTTAAAGCTTGTCAAAATGCATGGGCTCCCATTCAATGGAGCTGTGCAGGGACATAGATTCAAAACAAGAATAAAATCTTTACTGTTCATCTTCATAAGACACTTACTTTTTCCCATTACAAAATACTTTTAAGAATAGTAACATTTATAAATGTATTTATATTCAACATCATATAAAATAAACCAAGATTTATACTCAATTCTAGAGTTTTTCTTATTTTCTTTTTTTTTCTTGCATGGACTATATACAATATATACAGTAACTCCTCATTGTGTTTGTCAAATCAGCCTGATTATACCCACCAGGCTTTAGCTTATATGTACAAATATGCTAAAAGTGCAAGACTTTATTATTTAAAGCTGCCTGTGTTTTCAGAGGTCTGGAATTGTGTGGCCTATATATATTTATATATAGATATACACCTGCATACATATAAATGTACATGAAAAATACGTATATCTATATATAGTCATGGAATATAGGTACTTGTGTACTAGAAAACCTCAGAACATTTATGACTGATAGGTCAACACTGACACTGGAGGCCAACCCTGCTGCCATCAGTCACGTCCCTGCCCTCTGCTCATCACCAACCAGTCACACTTTTGTTTTCTTGTAGGAGGCTGGGGGGGCATGAAGCAAACCCACCAGCAACCCTCAATTCCAAATGAGTCATAAAAGCACAGGTCATAGCTAACACCGAGGTAAACAAATACAAATCAACCTGAATAAAGACATTTTTTATCCATCTGTTTTTTTGAGAGTGACAATATAAGGCAAAACCCCCCTGGCCCTGACTCAGCCTTGCCCTTGGCTGGAGGCAGACTGAGCAAAGACCAAGCAAGCCCCAGAAAGGGTTGGTGGGATTTTGTCCTTTGGAACATGTTGAGAAAACAAGGCCCTGCCCTGAGGCAGTGCCTGGGACTGTGCAGCCCCCACCCACCAGCAGCGAGGCCAGTGGCTGGGGGGGCTCTGAGAATAAGGGGGCACGTGATAAAGTGCATTTTTAGGTCTCTGGTTTTAGCAAGGCTGGTCTAACATGTAAACATCCTCACCAAGCTCCTGTGCTCCTCGCTGGGAGCTGAGCAGGGGCTGTGCCCCAGCCCTCTGTCCCTGCAGCCCAGGGCTGCCATCAGCAGGGCTGTGCCCAGGGCACGGCCCCATCTGGCACACTCACTGCCCCCCACCTCCCCCAGAACCCCTTCCCAACCCTATTTTTTTTTTTTTTGGACTCGCTGTCAAAACCACAGCAATGCCAGAAAACTGCTCTGCCTCAGCTACCTCCCTACCAAGCCCTGTTCAAAAATACACCCCTCAAAGCCCTGACCCCATCCAGCACCACCTCTGAGATCTCTGTGATTGCCACCTGGCTGGGCTGTGTGGTGCTGGGACACTGCAGACCAGCCATGGGGATGTTGGGGTGATGCAGGTTTAATGGGGAAGCCAGGGAAATCACAGCCTTTCCCTCCAGCCAGCCACAAACTGTGCAGTGCTGGAGCCCTAACACAGATATGTGTTTGCCTCCCCTCTAATGTTATGTGCCAAGGCTATGGTGGAAAAAATCCCACAAACAACTCCCAAAAGGACAACTCCCTCCTACTGCATCCTCATGAGCAACCCAGCTGCCTTAGAATGGGGAAAGGGAGACCCTAAAACTAAGAGTGCTTTAAAAACAAGTGTTTCTACCCTGAAGGCTCTGTGCTGGCCCTTCCTGCAGAACAAACCTGCAGAGCAGGGAAGCCCCAGGTGTTCATATTTCAGCCCCAGACTGCCCCAAAGGCAGGTGTTCCAAATCCCAGTACCAGCAGTGAGGTGGCCCTGGCCCATGGCTCTGCTGTAGCCACGATTTCTTGTCCTGGTGTGAAATGGAGGGGCTGGCTCAGGCTGTGTCCAAGCAGCCAGGGGCTGCCTGGGCTATGTGGACAGGGGCCCAGCCAGGGTCTGTGCTGACAAGGCACGAGCCCTGGTATTGGGCACAGGCTGTTGGGCATTCATTGCCTCCATCCTGTGGGCAGCCACATTCCCCAGCATGCTGCATGTGGGGAAAAATGTCTTCATGCTGCTCTAACCCAGGGTGATCCATCGTGTCTGGGAGCCCTGGGAGCTGTGCACTCAGTGTCCCAGTCAAAGCTAACCATGAAGCTGCTTTTGCCCAAGGGAGGGGACCCATGAATAGCCAGGGGTTGGCACAATTTTGTTCACAAATCCACCTCTGCCCTGGCCAAAACACCAAAGCACCCCAGGGCCTTGCACCAGTCCCTGAAAGCTCCTGGCTGACCCCAGCTCCAGCAGCCTGTCCTCCCACTGCCACTGCCACAATGTGGCACAGCAAAACCCCATCCCCTGCCCAGGAGGAGCTGCTGGGAACTGCCCCTGGAGCCCTGCTGTGCCCTTGTCTGAAACACAGAGCTACTGGCAGCTGCTTGTGCCAAAAGCTGCCCCACCAGTAGCATCAGGAACACCAGCTGCTGCAGTGCTGCAAGGGCCCAGAAACAGGCTTGCAGAAGGAAAAGAAGGAAACCAAAAAAACCCCAAAACACCATATTAAAAAAAGAAAAAAAAAAAAGGCAAAACCAAGCATTCTTCACTTGGTTTCAACAGACATTAGGAACTAAACATTAGGAACTAACTCCTCCCTAAACCTTGCTCTGTCTGCCAGCTAGAGTTTTACTGCTCTGGTCCTCTGCTCCCCGGTCCTAACTAACCACTGCCTTCACTGCCTTGCAAAGTCTATAGTAATGGCCAAACCCATCTACATTTGGGCTCTAACAATGCCCAAAGTTAGTACTCAGCTACTAACACTCCAAAAATGTACTTTTAAATTTTTCCTTTGGAAAGACACAAACAGTAGGGACACTTAACTATACACCCACTGAGGAATAAACTGGCTTTTCAATTCATAAATATAAACTTACAGTTAAAAAGTGACAATTTACAAAAATACAATTTATTGCTGACCCTATGGGCTTGTAACATCGTGTGTTGTGATTATACATTTTGGGTTTGCCAAATTGAAATATGACCTAGCAAAACCACAAAGTTTGCTGTCATATGCTGTTCTATGAATGTTTGTTTGTTTTTATGAATAGAAACATTTACAACTACATCACTTGAAACAACAAGAAAAAAAAAAGGAGTAAAGATTCTTTGTCTGTAACCTGAAAAATATTTGGCTACAGGGAGTAAAAACCATACAAATTTATCTTCACTTGTTAACCAAAAATAAAACACGACAAATATTGAACTAGCTGCGATGTGAGCTGGTATAACAACAGTAAGAAATTCAGGCAAAAGTGGTGTTATGTAAATTAGCAGCATTATCCAAACTCCTGGAAAAAAAATCTGCGGGACTGAGGTATAGAAAAAGGAAAAAGAATTCACAATGGACCTACTACAGCAAAACGAGTTATGTACACGGTAATCCAATGGTGTCCTGCGGACTGGTACAGTCTATGTGCTCCAAATGCTGGGCTTAAATTCACAGTGACTTTCAGCATTGAAGTCCTGAATGGAAAAAGGTTTTTTTCCATTGCAAACCGAGCTTCATGACGGCCTGATACCGATACCTGCCCTCCCTGCAGCAAGAAGGCTCCACTTGCAGTGGCACCACGGTGCTGGGCCAGGGCACACCCTGCTGCTGGAACAGCATCACCATGGAATACATTCCATGCATCTGGCTGCATGGAAATCCCCCCAAACCAGGCCCCTGCAGCCATGCATCCCTGTCAGAGACCATCCATCCCTGCAGGCACCACCTCCCCACGAGCCCGACCTCTCCCGTGCCGTGCTCCGAGGGCGCCGTGCTCTCACGCGCGCCGGGCGCGGCGGCTGCAGCCGTGTGCTCCTTGTCCCCAGAAGTGACTTCAGGGCAGCTGCATCTCGGGCAGGTCAGGCAGGTTGCAGGGCTGGCCCTGTGTGTGGTGGCTCTGCTGCTGCGGGTGCAGGAAGTAGCTCAAGGGGTTCTGCTGCGGGGCGTGGGGCGGCTGGAAAATGCGCTGCGTTGGAGCCCCCAGCTCGGGACCCTGCATCTGTTGGGAGACACAAATCTGAGCAGTCAGACCTGCCCCAGCACCCAGCTGTCCCTCTCTGCTGCAGGACTGATGCTGAGACTCATGCCCCAGAGTGTGTGCACCAAGTCCTAAACTTGAGGGTGTGAGCTGTGCTCCTCAGGATGCTGCTGCTGCCAGCAAAACCAACAAAAACCAACAATGCCTGGAGAGCACAGACCCATCTGTCCTAACAGGCTCCTGGGGAGCCCAGCAGGAATGGAGACCTCCAAAAGCTACTTGGAGGTACAATCTGCAGGATGTGAAGCTTTAATCTTTCACAGGAAAGATCTTCAGACAACCAAGGAAGAGGTCCTAGAGTAACCATGTACCCACCCATGGCTGGTAACTCAAAGACCTGGACCTGCTGTTTCACCCCCTGTTAAAGGCATTGTGACATCAAACTCTGGTTTACTGTGGAGGTATTTATCTGTTCCAGCATCATCATTCTGCTGTCCACACTGCTGGTCCTCAGAACAGCAATGCAGCCCATGAGGACACACCCAAAGCAGGGGCAGCTCGTGCCCACATTTCCTGACAACAGCAATTCATTTCTCACTTTAAATCCAGTCCTGCTCCAGTCCACTTTAAATCCAGTGTGGCTGCTTTCAGCTGAACCTCCTCCTCTTGCTTTATTCTTTGCCTGGAGGACTGTAACTTAACCTCTGCCATCCAGGCAAGGCTTGGAGAGTGTGTTACTGATGAATTATTAGTTTCAACTACCCCTCTCCTCGGTGGTGCCACTAGTTCAACATGTACTGATGTAAACTGTGTGCTGAAAAACCAAAATCACCTCATCCAGAGATGTGTGTTGTGAAATACCCTTTTTTAAAAGAAAGCTGTGATGGCAGCTGATAAAAACCATGCTCTGATGAGATGTAACAGCAGGAGGAATGTTTCCCAAAGACCTTCTCTCTTACAATTTTTCATGACTACAGCAAGCTTCCCACCAGAGCTCCTCTGGATGGAAAGCTGTGTTTGTAAAACTGGGTATTTCTTCTGTGCACTGTGTGATAACAGAATTTGTTGGAAAATATGGCCTTGAGCAGGTGCAGTCAGCCTGGAAGGGCTGAGCACCTGGCTATGTGGAGATACAATGGGAATAGAGGATGTGCAAAGGCCCTGACCAGGTTTGATCAGCCAGATAAACCCTATTTCTTCCAAAAACCCCAACCCATCCCAAACCATCAGCAGAAAGCTGCTCCTGCTCCAATACCTGAAGGTAGAGGCGGTGCTGCTGAACCTGCTGCTGTGGCCACTGGTGCAGGTGAAGTGGTGTGCTGGGCTGGTGGGAGGTGAAGCTGGAGTGTGGGACAATGAGGGATGGGGAGAAGATGGGTGCCGGGGCTGGAGGCCGGGCGGGGCTGCAGGTGCCTGGCTGCACCTGTGCTGCTGGGGGAGCCAGGCTCTGCTGCTCTGCAACAAACCTGCCACAGGGAGGAAAAGCAGGCATGAGAACCCACAGCCAGACCCTCCCTCAGAATGGGCACTGGGGAGCCCAGCTGCTGCAGGAACCTGCCTGGAGCAGGACTGCTCAAACCATGCAGCCCCAGGAGGCCCCTGATTCCCCTCTGCCCACAAAGCATGGACTGGAACTAAATTAAGGTTTTTAAGGTTGTACATTTCTTCTATGTCTTGGTTAAGCATTTTATGTTTTGCAAAAGCCAGGAAATGGTTAATTTTTAAATGCACTTCATTTATCATAAAGGTCTTTGTAATTAAAAAATATCATTATTTTTTCCTAGCTGGCTAAACTTTTGTTTCACTTCAGACTGAGACTGTTTGTGTTTGCATGACCAGGTACAAGTTTTTTCATGTCTTTTTCAATGCCATAAAGTGTCCTGCTAAGACCCTGCAGGAAAACAGGGGACAGCAGAGACTCACTTTCCTTGCTGCCTGCTGGCACTGCTCTGCACAGGCTGGCAGCTGCTGTTGGCTGTGGGCATCATGGCTTGGATGGACTGATCCAACAGCATCCTGTGGTGGAAGGAAAACAGAATGGTCAGGGAAGGGAGAGGTCCAGGGTCCAAGGTCCTGCCAGTCTCTAGAAACAACTCCTTGAAAATCCTCCATGAAAGCAGGCAAACCACTACCTAGAAAACAAACTAATGAAATAGGATGCTTCTTATCACCTCACATCTCTCCTGTGAGTACTTGCTGAGAAGATTGGGATTGTTGAGACAGGAGAAGGCTCCAGGGACACCTTATAGCACCCTCCAGCACCTAAAGGGGCTAAAAGAGAGCAGGAGAGGGACTTCCAGCAAGGGCATGGGGGACTGACTTTAAATTGACAGAGGGTAGGGTTACATTAATTGATGGAAATATGGTGAGAAGAGGATTTAAGGCCCCTGATGACACAGCAGGATGTGCACAGCACCCTGCCTGCCTGCACACTGGGCTCACCCCACAGAGGGAACATCCTCACGCTGGCTGTGGCATCCCAAGCCCTGAGCCCAGCCACGCCTGCCCTCCTTGCTGCTGTTCCTGCCACTGCCCCAGGATGGTCCCAGCAGGGCTCTGGTACCTGAGGCTCCTGTCCTGGCTGTAGTCAGCTGGTGGCTGCCTCTCACTGCTGTCAGTGGGCACCTGTGCAGCCACAGTGATGGGGTGTGCTTGGGAGAACACCATGGGGCTGTTGTAGAAGGGTACTGGAATGCTGCCCTGCCCTGGCACACACGCTTGCTGGCCTTGGCTTCCTCTCATTGGGTGCTGCTGCTTCTGCTGCTGTACCTGAAATGAAGACATAGGTACCCATGTAAACTTTAAACCTCCCTAATGGAAGGATAAAACAACCACTCACAGTGGGCAGACGGGAAAAGGAGAAGGAACAATAGGATATTGTCCCTGAACACTGCAGTAGGAACAGTATAACTACTCAAGACCACCAACCCCTTAGCATTTATTGTCCCTGCAGGGCAGGTATGGCATCCCCAGACAGTCTTTTGAGAAATTAGAGCACAAGGGTAAGGGCAAAAGGCTTGAGGAGGAAGAGAACAGCTTAAGAGGGGAAGTGCAAATCTGAAGTTTCCAAGGAAAGTATCTCATCGGTCCTTTAAAGCAGCAGTGTTGGCTTTTTTGTTTTTGAACAACTCAAGTCTTTCCCATCTTAATAGTGGATTTAGGTCTAGTGGTGACAAAATTGTTTTTTCAAAGCTGCCTTCCAAGACTGCTCAGGCAGATCAAAAGTAATCTTTTAAAATGATACCTACTCCTGTGTTATGAAACCACAACTCTCACTGGCTATGAATAACGAGCATGGTGTTGATGAGAGCCCAGACCTCCCATTCACATCCTCCCCAGGCACCAGGAGAGCTCCAGCTCTCTCTGGGGTTTAAATGCTTTTTGGCTACCTGGTTTTTATTTTTACAGTTGAGTCTCATTTGTGTCAGAGACACCTGTTTTTTATTTTTACAGTTGAATGACGTTTGTGCCAGGAGACATTTGTTCACAAGTGACTCCTGACACAAACTCCTCAGTAAAACCAACACAGAGGGGGTGCATGGAACCCCGGGGAGGAGTGACAGTCAAGTGTTCAGAAGCCAGAGAAGCGGACGATGAGGACAATGCAGGTGACCTGGGGGGCAGTGCCACAGGGGTCCCTGAGGAATGGCTGCGGTGACAGCAGGTGGGGGCTGCAGTGCTGCTTGGTCCCCGGCAGGGCTGGCTGCTGGGATTTCTTGGCCGTGCTGTGCCTGGGTGTGCCCTGGGGCGGCCTCCGGGGGCTGGGCTGCTGCACGGCGGCGTTGAGGATGACGGGGATCGGCTGCTGCATCAGCATCTGTGGGGACAGAGGCACAGGAGGTGGCTGCTGGTTGTGCTGCCTGGCAGGAACAGCGCTGCAGCAGCAGCAGCAGCAGCAGCAGTACCTCTAAATCCAGGGGCAAAATGAACCATGAGTAACAGAAAATCAAATGTTAGCTTGTGTCAAATATTTATTCAGAGGCAGGAACGTTCCAGCTCCATTGTGCCTGCTGTGTTTTTGCAGGAGTGGCAGCGGGGATCCAGCTGCACTAACCAGACATGGAACCACCAAGCTTTTTGTGCATGGGAGACTTTGGATTAATTTGGGATTGCTTTTTTCTAAATCACAGAGATTACTGATTCAATACTCAGCCAGATACTGATATCACTCATCTCTGGGGAAACACCACTCCCACAGCTGAAACCAAATTACCAATTTGTCAAGAGTTCATTCCCAAACGCTTTTGCCACGGACAATTTTGTTACTGCTCTGTGTGCTCAAAGGAAAAGCAAATGTTTGGTGAGTTTGGGGGCACCAGGGGTAGCAGGTACCTGCAGGTTGGAGTCCTGCACGAGCTGGAGCTGCTCCTTGATGACATGGAGCTCCTCTTGCTGTGTTTTGATGTCAGCTTGCAGGATGCGAGTCCTCTCCTCCAGCTGCTCTTTCAGCTGGTGCATCATCCCCAGCTGGGTGGGAAAATGGTACACTGGCTGCAGAGAACAGAGAAAAGGGACCATATGGTAGGACCAGTCCTGCTACTCACATCTGTAGCGATGCCGGATTCAGAAAAATGATTGCTTGTCGGCTTTTGCCATAAAAAATATGATGCTGACAAAAAAATGGCAATTGCATATTTAACCAAAGTGCCACTGCAGTTCCAGAGCAGCAGCACATCTGGCTTACAGTGCCTCCCTGCAGGTGTTGGTCTCTATAATTTCTGCATAAATGAAGTGTCTACACATGGGACTCTCCTCTCCCCTCAGGAGAACACCCTGCTGGTTTGGGCCCACTTGTATTTTGGGGCAGACACTGCATCCAAACCCTTGCCACACCTCCTGGCTGGGCATTCAGTTGTGCTGCTAATGATATTTGGCAGATGCCAGGCCCAAGATGGGCTGCAATCCCACCTGGGGATCCATCCTTCACACCTACAGTGCCCATTTTCAATCTCCATTTTATAGTCTGAACAATTACCTCACTGATATCAAAGCCCTGTAAGGACAGACCTTGTCATTATGGTTTATGACTCATTTTTCTTGGGGTTTTTGTTTTCTTTTCCTGGCCTAACTCAAACCTTCCATGACATCCCCTTCCTCTACTAAAACTCTTCAGCATTGTATCAGCCTGTAGGTAGCTGCTAGAGATTTAGGGAGAAGCCTTCAGCAGCCCTCAACACTTTTTACAAGTGTAAACCTTCTCCTGTGCTATTTCTTTGGGTGTGCCACCTGCTCTCTCTGCTCTCTGAAATAAGCGGTTGCAGTAAGGTTGTTGCAGGTCAATCTCAGCAACAGAAAGGGCACAGAAACCTTGTCCCCACTCTGGGATGAGCCAGCAAGGATGTGAGGGCAGTGAACCAAAGCCAGCTGGGCTGCCCTGCTGACAGGCCACAGCAGTGCACTGAACAAAACCAAAGCACATCCCATCACAGGGTGCTGGGAGGGCACTGCCAGCTGAGCCACGGGTGCTCAGACAGGTGCTTACCACAGGCTTGAGGAGTGGCTATGGCCTAGAAATGAAAACTCTGCCTTACTGTAGGCCCATAGCACCTCTAGAGCAGAGCTGGTGCTTTAACAGCTCATACCAGGGATGAACAAGTGCAGGGAATTGGACAAGGATAAATCTGAAGGGAGAATTTAGGTTCCTGCATGTCCCTGATAATTTCAAGTCCTTGGTGTCAGCACCCATTTTGGATAAAGGCCACCTCATGCGTACAAACCCCAAGAGAAGAGGGTTGGTGGTGTGAGAAGGCATTTAGCCTGGAGGAGCAAATGCGTGCTGGAAGAAGGCAGCAGAGGAGCCTCTGGTGTCTCTCCATGGCTCTGCCGGCCAGTGGCACTCCCCAGGAAGCCCCAGCACACCCGGAGTGTGGGCTCCAGCATCTCTGGGGGTGAGACCAGCGCTTGCTGTGCTCATTTCCCCGCAGCCCGGGAGGGCTCAGCGCTGACCTGGGCGCTGCCGGGCGCTGCCAGCCGCAGGGCCGCCTTGTCCCCCGGAGCCCCCGCCCGCGTGGGGGTGCTGGTGTCCGTGCGCCGCATGGACGACGTGGCTGTGGGAGAGAATTCACTGAGACACAGCACGGCCCGGCCCGGGTGCTCGGGCTGAGCCTCAAATCCACCTATGCACCTGTCCACCCACCCAAACAGCGCCCAAGCGGGTCCCAACCTGCCCCTCTATGGGCAGCTTGGCTGCCTGCCCCTCTGTGGTCCCTCTGGCTCCCTGCTATGACTTGCTGGGTTCCTCCTGATGCTAACGCCCTGTTCAGCCTGCCCGCCATGGGTGCATCCAGATGAGATCATTCTCCCAACAGCAAGTATCTCAAGAAAAGTCCCCAGAGTTTCCTACCCATGGCCCCACCCAGGGAACTGCAGTCATTTTGCAGCCTCCCCCAGGGGGAGGAGGGCGCTGATGGGAGCTGGCATGGAGCTGCCAGCAAGGCAGGCATCCTTCCATGCTCTTCTGCAGGGATTTCACATGAGAGATCCCACAGTAAAATTATATTATCTCAACATAAAACTTTCACCAATGAGCTTGGTTCAATCAAGCTAGCGAGTCCCTCTTGTCCCCAGAAGCACAGCAAACAGCCGTGGCCCTCGGCTGGTGACAAGCCCGGGGAAACGGCTCTCACACAGGGCTGGGTTAGCGGGAGGAGGCGGCAGGTGGCCGTGGCTCTGTGCTGCTCTGTGACTTGTGACACTTGGTTCCTGTGCTGCTCTGTGACTTGCCATGACTCGCTGGGTCAGCCCCAGCGCTGAGCATCCCCCTCCCACCCCTCCCTGGTCACTCCCAGCCCAACCCCAGCATTTGGGAGGCTGCTCCTCCCTCCTGCCCACCCAAGCTGGGCTGCCCCGGCACCTACAGGTGGAGTCGGACAGGGTGGTGTGCGAGGAGCGCCGGGAGCTGTGCGAGGACAGCGACACTCCCTCCCGGCTGGCGTCCTGGCTGCTGCCGCACTGCCCCACCTCCAGGTAGCTGCTGTGGCTCTGCGGGGAGCGAAGCACAAGGGTGAGACCCTCGGCAGCAGGGAATGGCCCTGGAAGGGACCTCCGCCTCCTGGAGCCGCTGTTTGCAGACAAACCCTGCCCGCCCGGCGCCGCTGCGCTCACCCCAAAGCCCGCGGGCACAAAGGAGCCTCTCTCCAGCCCCGGGCACCCACCCGATGGCAGCCAGCAGCACTGGAGCATTGCTCCTCACTGTCATTGCTGCCCACGGCCCGCACTCTGCTGTGCCAGCTCCTTCTCCCCTGCCCACAGAGCCCCGGGCAACGGGAAATTGCTTTGGTCAGGCTCTTTCTGCCCGATCTCTTCAGGGATGTCACAGCTGGCTGGCTGCGGTGCACTGGGGGTGGTGGCAGGGGGAATGAATGATGGGGGAATAGTTTGATCCGTGGAAGAGATGGAGACAGCTGGGAAGGGACAGGGAGCAGTGGCATGGAGACATCAGCTAGAGCCCCAAGAGGACCTACAGCAAAGGTCTCCTAAGGGGGACAGGCACTGGGCAGTGCTGAGAGCTGCAATCCCACTCACTGCTCCCTGGGCAGCAGAGGGGAACAGCCTGAGCCCCCATAAAATAATGTCTGAAAGGCAATGAGGCTGATGGAATGACAGCTACACAACGATCCACTTGAAATGACTTTGATTGCTGGTCTTATTGGTAAACTACCAAGAGGAGAAACTTAAAAGTAGTTAAAATGACCCTGACTCAAGCCATGGAAATTATTGCTCATGGAAGTTATAGGTCACAATCCTACACTTGATGTGATCCAGCAGCTGAGCTGAAATCTAGGTAAGTGTTTTCCCTTGCCTTCCCATCTTCATCTGAGTATCAGTGAAGAGCTGGCACAAGCAAAACAGGTACCCTGTGGTACTGCCCTGCTCTGGGATCTCTGTGCCTTGCTAAGGTACAGCAATCTGGCCTCCAGCTCCAGCTCTACTTCTCTGCTTCTGAGCTGAGGTTTGTGTCCTGGTCTCAGAAAGATTACAGGGACCAGAACAGAGAATGCAACTGCTGAATTCACAGCTATTGTGGAATCAGAGAATACCTGGTGTTACAGACCATCTGCCATGGGCAGGGACATCTTCCACTAGATCAGGCAGTTCAAAGCTCATCCAGCCTGTCCTAAACCAACATGGACAATTTGGAGCCATGCACCAGAAATCTTCTTAGGGCCTGCCTGAATAATGACCCAGTTCAAGGCTTGGAATGAGATGAGAGTAAAGAAAATGGAGAGGAACAGATATTTCCCTCAGATTGGTAAGCTGTGACTCGGTTTGGTTTAAACATCTCCTCAATCAGCTGGGAAGGAACGTGGTACCTTTAGAGAAGAGGATGCCAGTTCAATTGATGACTCTTCAAGGCCAAGATCTCGTCTTCTCTCAGCCCGAACCTCTGCGTAACTAAAGCAAAACCAAAAATAAAAAACCAAAAAAACAAACCCCAAACAAACCCCCCAAAAAACAACAAAAAATATTTTACAGCTTCTGTGCAGGTACACTACCACAACAAATGTACATTCATTTTCTAACCTGATGATGATGAGCAAGCATCCTTTTTTTGCATGGTAGTTCAGTGATCCCTATCACAATGCCTTGAGCAGGTCCTTCCTTCTCAAGGTGCACAGAACTGTACATGCATCAGAGTTAACATCCTGCACTCCAGTGGAAGCTCCAAATACAAACAGGCAGCCACACAAGTGCAGGGACCCCTATAAGGCACCTCTGGAACTGTATATTTTCTTTCCTTTTTTCCCTCTGAAATAATGAAATATTTACAGTAACAAATGCCCCATGATTCACCACTGGGATAAATTGGAGAGGATGTTTCAAAGACTCTGAGTGCTCATGCATCGTGGGCACTGAGAGGTGCCAGACTTTAGGGTGATGAAATATTAATGAACTGCAACCTTTGTGGGAGGCAAGAGAAGCTGCTGAACCGACCTCATTTATATCATTGTGGTAATGAATTTTCCTGAAAGAACATTTTAACTTGGGTGCTTCAGTAACATATTTTAAGCCTTAACTATCTGAGACAGAATTGAACTTCAAAATCTACTTAGGACTACATCATTAGGTTTAAGAGGTACTGGAAGCAGAAAGAAGAAACAAGTTCATGCACAATAAATTCAGCCCTTAAAGTGAAGCTGAATCCCCTGAAGGATGGCAGAAGTAAGACCACTGAGAAGTAATCTCTGTGTAACATTTGCTTATGTTAGCACTTCATGTGTAGTTTATACCACAGATCACAGAATCAGAATCAAAATAATTTGGGTTGAAAGGGACCTTAAAAATTATCTGGTTCCAAGCCCTCTACTGTGGGCAGAGCACCTTCCACTAGCCCAGGCTGTTCAGGGCCCCAGCCAACCTGGCCTTAAAACTTTCAGGGATGGGGCAGCCACAGCTTCTCTGGGCTTACAGCGCCTCACCATTCTCACGGGGAACCATTTCTACCTAAGATCTAATCCAGATCTATCTCTGAGATAGATTTAAAGTCATTCCCCCTAGTTCTACAACTCCAGAACTCCTTCTCCAGCTCTCTTAGAGCTCCCTTAGGCATGGAAGAGGCTCTAAGGTCTCTCTGGAGCCTTTTCTTCTCCAGGCTGAACAACCCCAGCTCTCTCTTCCTGTCTTCACAGGAGAGGTGCTCCAGCCCTCTGAGCATCTTCATGGCCCTCCTCTGGCTCACTCCAACACACCCATGAATTTCACATTTACTAGTGTTTGCTCTTCCAGATGTTTGACAGGAAAAGAGGGGGACCAGAAAAAAAGTTGATTCTTGACACTACAAAAATACAGTGAGCAATAAGTTTGCTCAAGTTAATAGAGCAAACCAGTGTGTCACTATTTTTTCAAGCCCTTCAGAAAATAGATTCTTACTCTTCACATAGTTCTTTTTGAGCTGGCTGTGGTAATCCAGCAGATTCCCCTACAGAATTCATTCACAGAGCATCCTCTACATGCACTGCCTTCCAGCACGGGCTGGAGCTCAGCACCAGCAGCTTTCCACTAGGGGGGGATCCAGGGCTGGATTTGGGTGAGGAATAAGGCCAGCAAGCCAGCGGCTAACTTCAAGTCATAAATACTTAAAGCTCTGATCAAAAGGTTTTGTAGGAGTTATATGATCTCATTCATGCCCAGAAAGATATGTCTGATTCCCAACAGCTTTAATTCTTTTCTGTGGCCATGTCATCAACCAGGGACCAAAGGGGAATGTAACACACTGATAGATTTGGCCAAAGCTGGCTTCCAGGCTTTTGGCTCAGTTGCAAAAAAAAAAAAAAAAAAAAAAAAAAAAAAAAAAAAAAAAAAAAAAAAAAAGGGAAAAAAGAGTAAATAAAAGACATATTCCCTGTTAGAATAGTTTTATGGAATTACACATAATTTTATGTGTCAGAAGGCACAGCAAGGCACACTAAGCATGTTGGTTAACATGAAACAGAACTAGAAGAAGCAGTGGCTGAACACTGAGACACAGCACACTGTGAAGAGTTTGGTGCTTACCTAACTACCAGATGAGTGCAAACAATGAACTCAGGCTTGGAGTTCCACTGGTGGTAGGTGATGTAGTAGTGAGTCTGCAGCCATATCCACTGCTGCCCTTTGGTCAGGAACCGATAGTAACAGGATTTGCCTTTTCCAAACTGCATCACTGTTTAACAGAAAGAGAAAGCAATTTATAGCAAAAGGGGATTTTATGGTGCAAAGGTGATCTAATCACCATTCAGTCCCACACCCCTCTCCCAGACTGGGCAGTGCTAAAATGGTTTTTGAGCTTTAGGAAGAAGACAGATGATACATAACCATGTACTCAGCTCTTGTTTGGGGTCATTCCTGCTGACTTTCAGAAGTGCCCTTTGCTATTTTGAGATTTCTCTTATAACTGGTATAACTGTATAACTAACTACATTCTTGTAACTTACAGGCTCCCTGAAATAAGCATAAATAACATTAATTAAACAAATTATTTGCCTTTCATAAGTACATGAGAATGCATTTCAAAGACTGAAGATGTGAAGTAAGAATCCTAATAATGACACAAAACAACAAGATTGTGGATTTTAGTTGAGAGTTTTCTTCTAAGACCTGGACTACTCCAACCTGGTATGTATTATCAGGCTATGTCCAGAAGAATCTCAGGTGCTGTAATACAACTGGAAAATAGTGAGGGGAACTACATTAAATAACCACACAAATTGTTCCAGACTGCTGGGAGTACAAAATGAAACATGCTCACTTAAGTGCCCACAATTAATGCAAAGTAAAATACAAACATGGTTTTAACAAACCCATTTCACTCGACAGTAGTCAGGATGTCTGCCCAAAGTGTCAATGTGACAAGCAGGAACCTAGCAAGCCACACTAACCCAAGTGGTTTTTTTACTCACCTGAACACCTCTATTTTGTTAAAATATCAGGACTGACTTCTTCAGTGATCCCATTACCAGTGATGGGCTTTAGATGAAGCACTTAGCAGAGATTTTCTGGCTAACATGAGATGCTGGGGATCCCTCAGTTCCTAGTCCTGGCAGACATGTCCTGAAACACGTCTCTAAGTCACTTTGCCAGAACTTTACTTTGTTTTCCCATAAAACAAAATGATCCTTTCCTATAGGTGTGTTGTGAAAATATTCTTCTAATAGATAAGAGGAATGCCTGGATGATAGAGATGTAGAATATAAGTCATCAAATTGATTCTCTGCTGAATGATCTGACCCTCTCTCAGTACAGTTTGTGGCTATACCAAACTGCACATCCATTACCAAAAGGCTCTCACTTGTATCTGAATTATCTTTTAAGCAAACAGCACTAAGAAGTACTGTACTTGAGAGTAGTAATAATTCTCTGTTAATATTCACTTTTGCTGCATTAGACACAACTTTGTGTCCCCCTGTCACAGCTTCCTCTATGTGCTCAGCCAGGCAACCCAGTTCCCTGGCACCTGGGCAGGGCAGGGCAGCCTGCAGGGAAGTGGAGCAGGGAAACCTGACCTACAGAGAAGTATTTTCCCCATTTTCCCCCATTCTCTTCCAGGTCCCTCAGCTCCTCATATATGTAAGTGGTAGAGGTCTGTGGTAGAGATGAGGGTGGTTTGCAGGTTTTCTCCAGTGGGCTGTGGGGCTTCTTGGTGGAGTTTCTTGGTCCCAGCCTCGTGCTGCTCTGCATCTCAGAGCAATTACAGCATCCTGCTTGCTCCACTCTCTGGGGTGTCCTTGTTTCCTTTGAACAAAACACTCTCAAGTGGAGATAGCAGAGAGACAGACAGTGTCCCCCACAAGAAACCTGTAAGTAATACTTCTTAGCAAAATACCTGATTTCCTAGATTTTAAAAAGTATGTAGTAGTTATTTTTCATTGCAGTGCTTGGCAATGCAAAACCACCACAGGACACATACCTCAGTAAAATGGAAAAGTCTGGGTCCTGGGGATAAAGCATCTCACATCTGGTGGGAGCTGCACACTGACTAAGAGCAAACCACACCTGCAGACACCTTCTGCCCTTCTTCATGTTAGCTGCAGCCCTCAGCAGGACACAGCTCTTCAGCACTGCCGTGGAAACCAGGTGAGTTCTCCTTCTGCCCTGCCTCTGACAGGCCACACTATTTCTCCTTGCATGAAAATAAACTTCATGGACCTTCTTTGGTGTTCACACATTAGCCTGAACTTGACTCTTCTGCTTTGTTGTTTTCCTTTCAGGTTGACCAAACATGAGCCATCTTCACCCACAGGGAAACTGTGTTCAGTACTTCTGTGTGTAAAATAATTCTGAACCTCCAGAAGCTTTTTGCTAATGAGTAAGTGAGGTTCACAGCACCTAATTGCACAGGGAGGTGATCCAAATGATGCTCTCAAAAGGTGTTTTGGTGAGCTGAGCCTCCTGGTTAACTCCAGAGCCCAGGGCAATGGCAAGACCCCATGAACTGTGACAAATCAACAAAACTCACAGGGCAGAGGGGGGATAGTTCTGACTCCCAGTCTTCTAATCTCATTTCACTCTGAGACAGCCTGTGCTCAAACAAGGTATCTGCCAATTTAGGAAACCTGCACTAACAGCCCCTGATCTGAGGGAATTCTGCAGATTCCAACCTCCCAGGTAAGTGTCAGCTGTGACAGTCTGACATGGGCAGGGAGAGTTCCTGCATGCTCCTGAAGAAGAAGCCTTTTGCAATGACAGTGAAAGGTTTTGCACAAGTGACAAAGGAGATCAGAGACAGACACACTGCAGAGGCAGGACAACTTACAGTGTTCATGGCACCTAGCAAGAAGCTCCAGGTCATCTGCGTGGTAGTAATCATACCCTGACGTTCCCAGAACCTCAAAGGGCAAATATCCTATAATAGGTGGAGCCCTAGAAAGGAAGCAAAGGGCAGGGAGTGAGCACAAAACTTGACTCTGACATCCTGGCAGATAAGCTGTGATACAGCAACAAACACCATCATTCACTTGGCAGGGAAATGTGGAGTGGGTTTTCATCTAGGCAGTGATGCATTTTCATATACAAACCAAAAAACTGACAGCAAGGGAGAGGTGCAAATTGAGCAAATGAAAAGGTGTGTGTTTACTGTTCCACAGCCTATTCATTATGTGGGTGTAGAGAAAGGCATGTACATATGTGAGTGACTCAATTCATTAAGGATGCTTGTGAGACACAGCTTGAGAAATGCTATGGCTGATCCTGCACACAACAACTTGGAGCCAGAGTAAAATTATCCAGTAGGTTGGATGTAAGTGTCATCTGGGTAGCAACTGGAGAAGAGAGAATAAGTGGGAAGCTGCAGCTTGGGAAAAAGTAATTGCTCCCCTGGAAAAGCTTGGGAAACTACAGCCAACAAAACTTTCTGTGCTGGTAGTGCAGATAGCAATAGGCATGGGGCTGATTTAGGGTTGTCTGTGCTTTGGTTGGTAGAGAAGGAATTGAGGAAGTATTTAGACAGGCACATTGCAATGACTTACCTCACTATTCTGCTATCAATTCTAGATTTTCCTTTTTCTAGGCAAAACATAAGGTTTTTTAAAAGCAGGCATCCTAACACAGCCTGACAGCTTATGATTATGAAACAACACTGAAATGTGGGGGGAAAACCACTGGTTTTGTCTCTGCTCCCTGTATCAGCCTGTCACTCTGCATCTCCCAGAGCTCAGGTCCAACCCTGCCTGCACCAACTCAAGCACTCAGTGAGGCAGGACCTGTGCTGATGTGGCTGCAGGATGTGCTGCAGTGTTCACCTGCCAAGTTCAGTGTGTTTCTCAGGAATAGGGCAAAATGGTAAATAACTCAAAATGGGGCAGCCTGAAGGTGATGGTGCCTATCAAACCTGCCTCTCCTGCTGCCCCTCTCCTGTTCATTCCCTTAAGAGCTGAATGCTCTTAAGGAAGAAGTCTTAAGGAAGTGTTAAGAAGTCTTAAGGAAGACTATAAGGAAAAAGCTATTTCAGTGTATTACACATGTAATGGATGGATCAGTCCTGAGTTTCTTGGTTATTACTGTGTGAAATTCTCTCTTGGCTGTGCCACATTTCTCCCCTTGAGAGACACCGTGGGCATTGGTTCTTCAGCCACAGAGACCCCAGGCAGGTCTGTAACCTCCCTCCTCCCCACAGCTGTGGCAGCCTGGCCCCAGGAAATGGGGGAGCAGGACAATCTGCCAGACAGCAGTGCCAGGAGGAGCAAGGTGTGAGCAGGAGCTCCTGAGTCCCAGCACAAGGGGTGAGCTGGGAGAGCCAGGCCTCCACTCCACAGCAAATCCCCTGGAACAGAATGTGCTGAGCACACATGTGCTCTCTGTCACAATACAGCTTTATTTATTTAAGGAACTTTTCATAGCTCTCTGTTCCTTTTCCTCATGTGACCCAGATTTCTGTTAATGATGATAATATGTGTATTTATTAAAGTGTCCTTGCTGTCTCTTTGGCAGAATGCATCACTGTTTCTCCTACTTTTAATAACATGCTTATATTCAAGAGAATAGTGTCTTTCAGATGCACATCAGATAAACATTTAAGCTGATCAGGAAATTATTATGCTTTCCTGAATATCACCAGAGCTCTTCATAAAAGAAAGAAACCACAAAATGCTCCTCATCTGTCATTTAACAAGGAGATGCCTTGTGGAGCAATTTAAAAGTGTCTTGTTAGCTCAAGTTCCAGTCCTGAGATCTGCAGCTTGCTGTGCAAATGGGAATGCACAGTCTTTAGAGAGTCTTTTGGGTGCAGTCTTTTAATAAATGAAGGGAAAATAAGAACAGTACCACAGTGCAGAAGAGAAACAAATCATTATCAAAGTTGATGGGTTTTTCTTCCTCTACACATATTTACATAGAGACCCAGAATACAGATTTTTCCTATCTTATGTTTATCCACATCTATGGACCATTTTTATTGCATCTATCTTTACTCTGATTTGAATTGTGATCATGACAGCAAAGGTCCTGGTTCCAGCTCCTGCTGGGTACCCTCTGCCCTGCTGATGGCACACCTCAGTGTCAGGCAGCCTGTGCTGATGCAAATCAGCAAGAAAGAGCAACATTTCCAGTGTCCTGCAGATTGTACTGAAGAGAGCTTGGAATCAGTGATTAAATAAGACAACTCCCATGATCTCCTGCTCACTCTTGGGTCTGAGCTCACTGCTTGCATCTGGATCTGTCACAAACTCTGCCTCAGCATCTGCATCATCTTAATTTCCTCTCAGTAGCAATGGCCTCCTCTCGGGGGATATCAGAGGCACTGGAGTGTCTGCAAGCACCCAGCACAGAGATTCCTCTCTGAGTCATAACCCACATTCATCAAAGGACTCTTTGACAAGTTTCAAAGTAGCTCCTACTCAAGCCTTTCACAGGAGCTGCTGGGACACAGCCCTGTGGAGAAGCAGCTCACTTCATCAGTGACGTGAGGGGCTTAGGGCTCTTTTACAAATCTTAACATCAATCAGCTGATTCTAAAAATGTGCATTATCAGACAGGCCAATTAAAGTCTAACAAAGCCACTCCAGCAAGATCTCATCTGAATTAATAATTATCTGTCTGTCCCAAACCACACATTATCAACTGTAGGGCTGTCACAGGGTCAGTTCCTCCATGCTTCAAGGTATGATGTGAGGCACACACCTTCTGTTCTATAGAAATGAAAGTTATTACTCATTTTTATTTGCTCTCTCTCTTTCTTGCTCTAAATGTGGAGATGGTATTTAGATTTTTTTTCCTCACCAATATTTTTTTTCCTTACAGCCTTATTTACTAGTCTTCTGTTTTCACTTTGCACAGCTCACAAGGGGAGGGATAATGAAGAGGGTAGGATTTTACAATGTGCTTATGCACATATGTCAAATACAGAGAAGTCAGAGAGTGAATAAAACCCACCAGCTTCTTTTGAAGAAAATTAATCCTGAATTAAGCAGCTTAATAAACTGGTTCCAGTCTGTTTCATTCACCAAGCTGAATTCTAGCCCACCATATTGCATTGTCAAAAACTAATCTACAATTAAATAATAAAACCCACTGGTTTTTATTTTGGTTTTAGAAACACTATCCTTTCTCAAGGTGAAAAGTCAAAAGTTTATTGACACAGCAAAAGATTTAGAAGGATTCCTGGAAGCTGTAATTGTAGAACAGAGGAGACAAACCAATATGGGGAACATATTGGGATCCACACTGCTCACTTTCAATGACTTATTATCTTGGTTAGGATTTTTCTAGACATTCTTGACATTTTCCATGGTTACTTACTTGCCTAAAGTATGGAAAATAGGGAAGCATTTAAGGATGCCTAATAGCTAAGTTCAGAGTACTGCTACCCACTAAGTTGCATGTAATTACAACTATACCATTTGGGATCTCAGGCAATAGGTACACAAAGTTTTTTATTTTTAAGCTACAGTTTATTTATTCTTCAGTGACTAAACCCAAATCTCTTACCGGTGGTCCAAGAATAAAAACTTCCATTCTAAACTATGCCTCGATGTAAATTCTTCACATGGCTCTTCAACATTGCAGAGCTCCTGCAAAAGAGTGGGTACATTCAGACATTTAATTCTGTGAAATGACAAAAGGAGCCTGCTATCAAAACCTAGCATGCATCTTGCTCATAAAATAAACCATAGCAAAATACAGTGCTTTTAAAGCACTTGACTTATTTTCCTCTAAGGAATGTGTAAGACTTGTTTTATAGATGCATGAACTGATGAAAAATGGGTGAATAGTTTACCTTGAACTGAATTTCAGAGCTAGGATAAATAGTCAAAGAGTCTTGTCTTGCACTCTAGGCAAAATTCCCCAGCTTTTTGCAAATACTGGTATTTGAATATGGATGAGAGCTCCAGGCTCAGGCTCTAACTGAGCTGGTAATGCCCTCTTGAGCAAGCAGCACCCAGGGTTGTTATCCCTGCCATCAGTGCCACGGGACATTCACAGACCAGCAGGAGGAGGCCATGACACACATTTTCAGTGTTTCAAGATGCAGATTCTTACACAAAGGAGTGGTGGATGCTCGTCTTTGAAGGCTGCAAATTCCCAAGTGGTGCAGCTGGTCACCTTGTCCTGGAGCTTCCCTCCGAGGCAGCCCCCACAAACCCACCTCTTCTCAAAAGCAGCTTCTGCTTCACCCCTTATCTTTCCAAAATACAGACTTATGTCATCTCCCACTCCCAGCTGCTGTGTTGTGATTTCAGGTTTTACTCCAGAACCCCGGATCCCTCCCTGATAATTCCCTGCCAGGTGTGGCAGTCACCTCTCCCTCCCCTTCCCTTGCCCCCTGCCCAGCACTGTCTGTCAGTCCTGGCATTCCAGAAGGGCATTGAGTGACTGGCAGAGTCACAGGATGCCCTCTACCCCTGGGGGGCATTGGGCCATCCAGGTGTCCTTTGTCCCTTGAGACGTCCTTCCATGTACCTGGTTGGTGGCTCCCTGCCCCTTCCCTGCCCCTCTCCCCAGGGTTCAAAGGAGCAGCAACCATGGGCTCAGGGAGTTCTGTTGGAGCTGGGGCTGGATCCAGAGGCGTGTGGGCCAGAATAAAGCTCTGGATCCAAACCCTCCATCAGAACCGACTCCTTTCCTTCACCATCACCTCAAAGCTTCTCCAGCAGAGGGAAACCTGAGGAGCAGCCCCTGTTATGGGGGAAAAGCTCTATCCCACCACCACCAGAGCTCCTGCAGGCCTGGACTTGCATCCAAGCGCCCAGCTGCAGCACCCAGCCAGCCAAAAGTGTCTGTGGGGTGAAACACCACACACCCAGCCAGCCAAAAGTGTCTGTGGGGTGAAGCACCACACATCCAGCCAGCCAGAAGTGTCTGTGGGGTAAAACACCACACATCCAGCCAGCCAGAAGTGTCTCTGGGGTAAAACACCACACACCCAGCCAGCCAGAAGTGTCTGTGGGGTAAAACACCACACACCCAGCCAGCCAGAAGTGTCTCTGGGGTGAAACACCACACACCCAGCCAGCCAGAAGTGTCTCTGGGGTGAAACACCACAGTGCCGCTGTTTGGTTCAGCACCAAGGGCCAGACAAGCTCAGGCACGTCCTGCCCAGCTCTCTTGGCAATTATTCCAGTACCCAGCCACAGCCACGTCCCCTCTCCTGCACCACCCCTGTGCTGCTGCCCCTGCTGCTGTGGGTGTTTCAGGGCTCACCTTGAGGAACTGTGGCGTGACCAGGCGCACGGTGGCCACCAGGCAGATCTGCTCCTCCGGGGCTGACCTGAAAGCCCGTGCAATAGCTGACTCAAAGCCATTACAGGAGGGTGTAGGCACTAGGAACAACCAGACAATTTATTCAAGAAGAAGAGGAAGGAGAGGTTCCTTCTTGTGTTAAGACAGGTACAGTGAGTGGAGAAACCCAGCAACCTGCTCCTGCTGCCCACAGGGTGATGCCACCCTGATCCACGCTGGTGTTATTTGAAGCATGACCCTTTAGGATCCAGGCTGTAACCCCTACCCAGGGCAGCTTTGTAAGACAGCTCGGAGCAGCTCACAGTGTGCAGCTGCTGTCTCCTTGTCAGTCTTTTCTCTAGGCCAACATTTGCAAGATTCAGGATTTTACAGGCACCTCAAAGTATTTAATCTCAAAGTGTAATTCCACTGCCACAAGTGAAACAGAATACCATCTTTTAATGGGTATTTGAATAAGTAGGCTGCTTTACAATTGGCAGTGGGTCCAACAGAGGCATTTTCAGTCTGGTATCAGCTTTAGGCACAACATGCAGGAGAGTGCACTCTTCTGATCAACAGACTCCCCACCACTTTTGTATGAAAAGTATATCCAATGTATGCACAGCTCATTCCATCCCTGACAATTATGGGGCATTTTCAGCAGAAACAGAGACTTTAAGATGCTACAGGTCAAGACAATTTAAAGGAGAGAGGTGGAGAGACAAAGGTAGGCTGGAACAGTAACTTACCATGAGTAAAATATTTAAAATCCACTACAAATTTCACATATTCATACATCAGGGGTTCATTTGGATCTAAGCTGCCTCTTGCTAAATGGCAACAAAACTCTATTTGTTTTTCTGCTGAAAGGAGAGAAAGAGAGGGAGACACAGACAATGTTATTAGAAGTCTGTACTTTAGCTCGCTCACATATTTAATTTATCTACCAAGTGGTATCTGAGCACACCCTGCTGGGAAGCTTCTGATGCCCAGAAGTAAATATATAACTACTAGGAGCAATTATCATCTGTTTCTGCTTAAGGAAATGTATTCTCACCCTTTTTTCCTGTCTTTGCAGTCACCCCAGTGAGCTGAGTGTGAAGCCCTGGCTGCACTGGCCAGCAGGATTTTCCCCTGACTCCATGGATCTAGGATTTCATGCAGGGCAGGTACAGGGTATTGCAGCACTCTGCTCTGGCACTGCTCAGTAGGACCAAAGGGCACTGAACTCACCCTAAGCCCTTCCATTAACAGGGGAGGGCACTGTGCCAAGCTCTAATTCAGTTTTCTGCCCCAAGTCTGAACTCTATGGATTAGACCACATGGCCTGAGGAAAACCACCCCCAGGCAGAGCATCACCAGGCTGCTCAGAGCATCAAGAGGCTGCTCAGAGCATCACCAGGCTGCTCAGAGCATCACCAGGCTGCTTAGAGCATCAAGAGGCTGCTCAGAGCATCATGAGAGTGCTCAGAGCATCATCAGGCTGCTCAGAGCATCACCAGGGTTCTCAGAGCATCCTCAGGGTGCTCAGAGCAACCTCAGGCTGCTCAGCTCCTGCTGGTGCTCATGGGGCAGCAGGGAGGGAGCCCAGCACTGCTTGGTGGCTTTACCAAACCCACTGGGAAAAGGGTGAAGGCTCAGCACAGGCTGAAACATTAATTAATGAAACACAGGTGTTGGGAAGATGCTGCTGCCTGCTCTGGTCCTGGGGACATTTTCTGAGGGGAAGGGACATGGGACAGCAGCCAGCAGTACAGATCCTGATGGACTGTTCAGATAGGAAGTTGCTTAAGTCACCTTAGGGCTTCTCTTATGTCCTGAGACATGCAAGCTTCCTAAGGAATCATGGCTCTGCCAAAACTGTTTGGGATTTCTCCAAATTTTTTTCCCTTCTCAGGGTTAGTCTAGCATCCCATCTGGGGAAAAGCATCTACCATCCAAGGGGCAAAGCAGATGGTAAAACAAAGACTGTCCTAATCAAAGAGCTAGTACTGGGAGCACATAGGAACATTAGAGATGTGATGCACTAAAACCCACAAATGCAGCAAAGCAGAAGTGGCAGGCAAGAGCCAGCTGGAGAGCTCTGTGCAGACTTCCCTGGGAGCTGTTCACCTTTGGCAAACTTCTCTGACCAACAGACAAGAGCAGAACTTACCATTCAGAAAATCAGCTGCAACAGGATCTGTCATGAGCACATGTGGAGAAAGTAGCTTGTACACCTCGCTCTGCTCCCCCTCAGGCAGAAAGTTTAATATATTTTGGTCCACCAAATCTGACTGATACAAAAGAATGCTTTGTCATGTTCAGCAGTACAGCCTGACACAACCACATGCCTTTTCACCCCTCAGCAGAGCACAGACACTGCAGGTCTGGTGCAGATGCCTAAGACAAGGAAGCCCAGTCAATCTGCAGATGGATCTGGGGCAGAATGTAGCCCTTAGACTATTTTACCCCAGGATTACTGTCTATTTGCAAAACATTGAATGAGTCCCAGAGGCTGCCCTCCAGTTCAGGCAGATACAGGCTGGAGAAGAAACCCTGGTAGCCCAGGAATGTAACATGATGAGAAGTGAAACATTTTTCTTTGAAAGCAGGACACAGAAGGAGAGCTCCTCCCTACATCCTCCATTTGTCTTCTAGGCTGAACATCTGGCAAAATCAGCTTGACCTGCAAGTGATTCAGTGCTCATCAACCCACACATCCTGATTAAAGGGGTTCTACCAAAATGTCAGCAGAGATTTGTTCTTTGCACACATGACATTCAGGTAACTATGTGCTCCAATTTTCCCTCATTTAGGACATCCTTGGTGCTTCATGCTTGGCACCAGATAAAGAGAAAAATGTTTTTGAGGGGCCAAGCTGAAATTTCTGCACCTGACAACTGACTAGTTTCTAGAGGTTCTCCCAGAAAACTCTGAGGCCACACATTTGTTACTGAAGACTATGGGCTCAAAGTAGAAAAACCCAATGTCATTCAAAGAGCATAGATTCAGTTTTGAAATAATATTTACATTATCTAAGAAGAGCTCCAGCACTCATTTCACAATCATAAGATTTTCCATTAACCTGGTGGGTCAAACACCTCTCAGATCTTTAGATGGATAGCCAAGTGATGAGCTATGAGCACAGTGATTTTGCACAGTTGGGGTTTTTTTTAAGCTAACTCACAGACCCTGGGACAGAATGTTATTCACAGGAACTTGAGAAACTCCACAAGAGTTTCTTGGTTGACCTCCCACCCACAGTCAGTTCCCTCTTTGGTTGGACAAAACCAATTCCCAGCCCTGCACTGACTGATTTGCCCTGAGGAGGGGAATGAGCCTCAGGGTATTGCATGGTCAGAACTTACCGGTAAGTGTCCCAGCAGAGATGAAACACTATCAGACACATAAATAATAATCCCATCAGTGGTAAGAGCAATGAGAAAGCCATCCAGTGCCTAATGAAAATAGGCAGGAAAAAAAAAAGGAAAAAAAAACCGAAACAGAATTATGCAATAGAAAAACTTAAAATATTTTAGATTCATTGATTCTTTAGTGATGCTTCTAACAGCTTAAACCTAGCAGAAATTAATCAAAGAAATGACAGTTCAATGTGGAAAAATAAAAATTACACGTGATGTCTAATTCAACATTCTTTTTATATTCTTATTTTCTCATTCTCTTGATTATTAAATTGACTTGTATTTTTCACCCAGTGAGTATTTATTTAACATGAAGTGAGACAGTGATGCTTAGAATTTCAACACCCACACAATCCTGCTGACTTCAGTCACTTCATTATGTGTTCTGAATTACACAATAGTTAACAAACTCAGTGCGTAAGGAGATGTCAGACATCATCATGGCAAATCCAGCTTTGTAGATGGATAAGCAGAGACAGAAAAATTATACAATTATGTATTTTTAGCAGTTTATGGACAATTTGAAAAGGATCTAAAGCCTTATTTATTTTGCTTAAAGTGCTGATTTGTAAGGTTAGTGACAAAACAATTTCAAGGCTTGTTCTGTTTCCCCTTTCTCATTCACAGTGGTTTCTGTCCCAGAGTCAAACCTCTCTGTCCCTTTTAAGTCACTGTCTGTGCTCTTCTCCTTGGATGTTGTGTTCTCCCTATTCTTCACAGTATCTTCTTGTACCATATATGCAGTGTCTGTCCTTATTCTTCCCTAACATCAAGATCTGGGAGGTTTAATAGCTGGTCAGCCCTGTGCACAAAGCCAGCTCTTCTACAGACACTGTGAGGCTGCTCTGCAGCTTGGCTACAGGGAGCCAAAGATGCAGCATTCCCCATCTCCCCCACCTCACTGCCACACTCTGCCTTTGCTCAAATTGGGTCCTCTCTGGAAAAATCCCGCTGATTTTAAGCAAACTGGCCTGCCAGAGTCCAGTCCAGCCAGCAGTTATTAGAGGGCTTGCTCTCCCCCACCACTTCCAGTCTAAGGGGGGAATTTGTTTGGATTCAGCTGGAACAAGCTGACTTGTTTGGCAAGAGATTCCCAGAAAGAATGAACAGACTTTTCCAGAGAGGTGAGTCATGACATCCTGATGAAAAGGAGTAACTAAGACACAGCAGCACCTCCCAGCTCAGCCCAGCATCCACCCTTCTTTTGGTGGGGCAAAGAGCAGCAGTGCCCACGCAGGGCAGGAGATGTCCCTGCCACAGGAGCCTGCAGCACAGACCCAGGGCACAAATGTGGGTTTGGGGGATGTTTCTAGATCAGCACAGCATTTCAGAGGTGGGAGTATAAGAGCTGTTTTCCTGAATGCACTTCAAGGCAATTCAAGCAGAAGAGGCAGCACTCCCAAGGAGAGGACAGCAGCGCACAGGCAGCAGCTGCAGAGGCAGCACAGGCAGTGCTGCCTGCCTAATGGCATGTGGGAGGAACAGAGCTGCTCTGCTTTTTTCAGGTCCTTTCAAGTTTTTCCTAAAACTGCCAGCTCTAGCGGCTCTTCTGAGAAAAGGAAATTCTCTTTTTCCTCTCTCACCAGGCCAAATCTGGGCCAAATCAGCCTTGATTCCCAAATGAAAAGCCCTTTATCTTCAAGGGGAAGCAATCTCATTTTTAATTCTGTGTCTGCAAAGCATTTAGTACAACATTGGTCTCAGGTTTGCATTGTATGTGCCAGCAGAGTAGAAATCATTAACATTGGGACCTACAGGTGACAAAGAACTGTATATCCCTGATCTACTCCACTGAACTGATTATTTCTCACTAATCTATTTAATTTCTTCTTACCTCTAACATCAACTGGGTGAACTCCTCGTTGCTAAGAAATGAAGGCTTCCAGTCTTGTCTAATCTGACAGGCTTCTGTCTGTGCTGTGATTTCTTAAAGAGAAAATATCAAAAAAGCAACATGACTCATGCTACTTGGATTTTTTTTTATTTTCAAGTAAGATTTCTTTAAAGAGGCTGTTAGAGGAATAATCCTTATATCATTCTTCACACAAAGCCTTCTTGCATGCAACAGTCATTTTTCATGCTATCATGATACAAATGCAGTAGAAATCAAGAAAGGGAAATGGAGACATTTTAGGTGACCTGAAGATAACCTTAAAAACTAAGATCAATGGGCTAATTTTAGAGTAGTAGAGAATTCCTGTGAGCAAAGGGTATCTGCAATTCTGGAGCTGTGCCCTTCAATTCTGGAGCTGTTTCACAAGCTGCTCTTGTGAGTGCCCAGGCAGCAGGACAGGTTTATCATCTCCTAATCCAAGAGACCTGGGAAGATGGCACAGAACACCCTCTCCCCTGACTTTTGTAAGGGTGCAGGTCCTCAGCTTTTCTGTTTGAGAGGGAACAAAGCAGGCCAGGGGATGTGGAGGCCAGTGAGGGTAATGTAGCCACATAAAAGGTGCACAGCCCTGCATCTTTTCAAATCTGTCTGTGTTTAACTGGTCAGCAATGTATTCGGCCCTAGCTATCCTGAGGCCAACTGCTGGCCCTTATTCTGCCCCTCACTCAGGCTCCTGTCCTCTCTGGGTGGCACCTGAGATGCTTGGGATTTGCATTTGCTGGTGGAAGCTGGCTGCTGGGCAGCTGCAGGGCCAGACCCCCAGTACCTTTCTGTTTCTGTAGGAAGTCGATGGTCCTCTGCAGTATTGTGGACTTGTCCATCTTGAGAGGGTGGCCATGGCCCTGCAGCATGGTGCAAAGCTCTTTAATGAGGACATTGAACTGGTCTCTCCTCTTCTTCTCAGATTTGTTGCGTGATGCCCTGGGGACAAAACCATAAATGTCACTCAGCAGAATGAAGGACCTACAGCACAAACCAGGGTGAGGTATCTACACTGCCCCAGCAAAACACTTTAAATAAAGAATCTAAACTCTGCTGGGAATGTTTATTTGTTTAAAATTGGGCTTGCACACAAAGATTTTGCTGGTAGCAAGACAATCCACCATCAGCAAGGAACACCTGGAGGTAACACAGGCTTGGGTTCATTTGGGAAAGATCATCTCCTGACATACATTTCATACATTTCAGTTCCCACTGTTTCAAAAGCAGTGACAGTGAAGGTGTTATGGGAGAAATTCCTCCAGTAAGAGAAAAGTATGTTCATGCATATTCATGTTTTTCTCACTTAATTTTTATGAACTTTTGTTTTGCAGTTAGTACACAAACATATAAACGTCAAAATGTGAAGGATTTCTCTGATTTGCACTTGCAAAAGGAGCTTATCAAGAGACAACAGTGTGCAGAGGCAACTGAACTGCAAAATAAAATCTTGTATGTGGTCTTGAAAATCTACTGCTGTGATGTATGAAACTGGGAATGTTACAGGTCTGGCTGCAGAACTACAACTGGTTTTCAGTTGACAAATCAAGAGTATTTATTAGGCTTTCCCTCTCCATTAAAAACAATAGAGGAGAAAGCAAATCCATTTAGTTCCTTCCAAAGTTTTCTTTCCAGTGCTCATATCTGAGATAACACTTTTCATACAACCTCTTCCAGTAGTAATTAATTTGCTTTACAAGTGTATTCATGATGATGCATACTTGCTGTGATCTAGACTGAGGGTGGTATGCAGAAAGCATTTTGATTCACATTCAGGTTGGCATTTGGCTGTTCTCAGATCCAGCATTCACAGCCACCTCTGTTTTGGCACTAGTGTACAATGACTAAGCAGAACTGAGCCAAGAGCTTCTCTGACAGGAACTAATTCAGGCCTGGGCTAAAGCAGGACTGCTAAGGGAGCTCTGCCCCAGGTGGGCAGCACTGCTTGATGGCAATAAAATCACAGGTCAGGAATCCTCCTTCAAGATAATAAATAGCCATGGGATAGCAGCAGCTCCTGAGGGCACAGCAGTGGAATTTAAGGACCACTCAGCCAGATAACCCATTGTAGGGGTGGCCAAACTCTGTGAGAAGCCTGAACAGTGACTTAAATTGTGCTGCTTGTGGTCAGCTGTACACAGCCTGTAAACTGTGTAGGAGTTTTGCCTCTGACATCAGTGGGGTCAAGTTCATTGTCAAGCACTGGACAACACAGCATTTCCAGTTCTCCTCCAGGAGTGCATGCTGTCATACCTCTTTGCCCTGTCCTTCTCATCTTCATCCATCAGTTCGTTTACACAACACAGGGCTCTGCAAGGGAAAGACAGAAGCACTTACTGAGACACATTCCCTATCTTGCTCAGAATGTCAAAACACGGAGTGTAGTGGTTTGTACTTAAAGACCTCCTGGATGTTTCAATCTTCCCTTTCCCAAATTTCACTCTTGGTATGTCTTTCTTTGCGTGTTCAGTCAGCTACTGAGGCATGAGAAGTGAGACTGCTGCTACATGCCCAAACATCCTCCTTCTTTAAGGACTTTAAAGGGAAGGATTAAAAGCCAGCAGCCCCTCAGCCTGCCTTTGTCCTGCCCTCTGAGCCAGCATAGGGAATCCTGCTGAAGCACCCATCTCTGCACAGGAATCAGCATCTTCCTGCCAAATTCAAGACCAAAAAAGAGAGAAATCTGCCCTGGTGTCTGCAGCAGGCAGCACCACAGCTGGTCCTGTTCTGGGAAGTCACATAAGTTCCTGGTTGATTTCAATCACTGCCCACCCTGCTTGAAACATATCTGAGATTTCCAGTGGAAAGACAGAGGAGAAAGAAACTGTGCTAATCCCCTAAAGGACTGGCATTAGGCAGCAGCAGCAGCATGTTATCAGGCTCTCTAAGAGATGATAGACAGACAGGTTCACCCAGAGCATCCTGCAGCCAGTGACTGCTGCTTGCCATGCTGGACTGCTCCCACATCATCTGAGCTGTGTCCTGGGATTCATGCCCAAGGCTTCAATTTAAAATATCCTCACCTGGCAATAACCGGGGAAGGAGAAAAGTGGCAACAACTCCCAGTAAGGACACAGTGCTCTCAAGCTCCATTAAATGATGGAAAATTCAAATCAAAGGTAACTTCTTCACTGGTGACTTCTGTGACTCAGATGGGCTGAGTCTGAGGGACAGGAGCCAGGGAGGTGCAGGTGAGGCAGCTGCTGTCACCCCACTCCACATTGCCCAGGTCAGCTCTGCTGGATTGCCCTTCAGACACCTCCAAAGAGGAAATCACACCCATCCCCACCATCAGAACCAATCTGCCCCCCATCTCCACTGAGCACTTTCCCTGCAAAACACCCCATGCTGCCCAGAACTCAAGGGGCATTTTTCAATAGGTACATCCAAAAACTTTTCTCTGTTTAGAGACTACTCCAAGCTCAAACAAGTTGGTAGCTATAAAAATAACACAAAACAGAACCACCCACAGTTGTCAGGAAGTCAAGGATGCTGCTCACAGCAACAGCACAAAATTTTATCCTTCCTTCCCTGCTCCAGGGCAAGGATCTCCCTCCCTGCAGATGACCTGGGCAGAAGATGATGTATGAATTCTTCTGTTATGAATGCACCCTATAGAGAGGGAGTGGTTCTCATTGCCTGAGTCACCAAAAGCTACAAGCCAAATTAGAAATTACCTGTTCTATTCCTCAGATTCATCAGTCCAGACTGACAGAGTGGGATTAGCACTTCTTATCACCATGTAAATAGAGACGGAGAAAAATTAATCCTGGAAGGAAAAGCAAGTCCAGTTAAAACACAGTTGCAGGTAAGACAGCCTAAACAGCTGCAATCACTTCAAGCTGAGAAAAGCCTACCACCACAAATTAGAACCATGCTCAAGTATGACTAATGAAAGCTCAGCAGAGCAATGGGAGTTGGACCAAGTTCTTGGGCTCATAGCTCTGTGGGCATCACCTACTGCCACAGAAGCCACCTGGGAAGGCCAATGTGACCTCTCATGTCCAAAAAGCTGTGTGACCCAGCAGGGTGGGAGAATGGCCCTGCTGGCCAGGAGCCACCTAGGATCAACTGGAGTTCTTCCAAATATGACAGTTTACCTGGTGAGCTGTGAAAACCAGAAGTAGGACCTGTACCTCATCTATCAAATCTTGCAACCAAAACCACCTTCAAGACAAACATGGTCAGGAAAGTCAGCACAAGCCACAACCACCCAGCTGTGAATGGACTCAAGGCTTCCCCTTTGTACTTGCTACTGATGGGACACACAAAATCTAGAGAAAATATCATGTAACTCCTGACACCCCAGTGAAGCTGTAACTGGAAACAACACCTGCATAGCAAACTTAAACTCAGTGGGTCTGCTGTGTCTCTGTTTTCACAGCAGTGCTACCCCAGTCATGCTTCATTCCAGTTCAAAAGGAGTGTGTGATCTTATTTGTTACCCAGTTGAGCTGAGGCTCTTATCCCCACTGCTCATCCCTCAGTGCTGTTCTATCAAAATCACTCAGTTGTTTCTTCTATAGAAGAATGTCCCCTACAGAAGATTTGCTGACTGGGGATAAACTCAGAGATACACAGGTATAAAGAAAAGCCTTTTTAAAGCAATGGGTTAAATTATGAAAAAATGCTTGGGGATACACAGAAAGATCTATCAAAATTTTTCAGGGAACATTCTTTGTGTGCAGACTTGCCCATGCAAAAATTCAGCTAAATAAAAGGATTTTTCCCAAGCTTGTAGTGCAAAGCATTATATGGAAGCTTTGCCCACAGGTTGTCTAACAACCAAAAGCTCCCAGGAAGTCTGGTGGGTTTTCTGCCTCATTAGAAGGGCTGGGCTCCCACCCAGCTGGAACAGCAGCAAGTTGAGGGAAGTTTGGTCACCAAGAGTGTCAAGAGTATAGCGGATGCTACTGAGCCCAAATGGGTTCTCCAGTCCCCAGGAGGAGCTGTCACTGCTGCAGTACAGCAGATCTGGGCTGCCAGAGGAATGAGGCTTCCTAATGAGAGTGAGCAATGCCCTCAGCCAACAGCAGACTTGGAGGAGCTCGCAGAATAAATATCCACAAAAGAATTCCCAGGCCCAACCACACAGAGCAGCTTTCTGCATGATGCAGCAGGACGGTGAGCAAGAAAAAGTCTTAGCAGAAGACACCTAAGCACAAAATAATCTTAACTGGATTAAGCACTTCAGGACTGCATTTAGCTAAGTGCTTTTTGTCTTGTTGTAAGACAGAGCTAAATATAGTAACCAGAATACTTAAGAATAGTTTCATAAGGGTTGTATACATTCCTCGGCCAGCTAAGACAATTAGCACTACTGACAGCAGTATGTCTGCAGGTTAAGAGTATTTTAAATAGATCCAGATAGAATCTCTTTGACCTTAACTGCATTAACCAGAGGGATCAAAATTTATTTATTGCCTCCTGAAAATCCCCTTCTGTAACACTTTGAGAGAGGGATTCCTGAACTCTGTGGGCAGTAAAGAGGAAACTTGTCAGTGCTGCTGGCATAGTTTCTCACTCCACCTACAACAGGTGAGGATCAGCTTTCTCACAAAGCAATGCACATCCATCACTGCTTAATGACCCCTGTAAAGGGAAATTATTTTTTCCTTCCTTTGTACAGGGAGTCTCAAAAACCACTCATAGCATTTTAAGGGTACATTATATTTCAGATTTTTCAAGTATCACAGCATTTGAAGTTGTTTCCAGGGTTACAGAAAGGGTAATGTAGCCAAATGACAGCCTTAACAAGACAAATGGACTTTGCAGTCAACAACTAATAGTTAAAGCATTATTCCATGCTATCTGCTATATTCTGGCATGTTTTTTACTGAAGAGAGAACAGCAGAGGGAATTTTCTGTTTCACAAAACTATCTGACTCCAGGAGCTATCTAAAACTGCAAACCTGTGAGTAAAGAGAATGTTTATTTATTGACTTGCTGCAAACCATCAAAATATTAACATTACCTTAGGATAATTCTTAATGGAACAGTCAGACTTGTGTCCTGAAACCAGCAGTTCTTATGAACGTTTCATTATAGGTTAAATTTTAGTTATTTGGTTATGTCACTCATGGCAAGGCAAGGATATTTCTATGAGAGATGCTGCCCATTTCTTTGTGATCAGCAATGAATAAAGCTTTCATCCATCACCTAAAAGTGTCCCTGAAGCAGGATGATTTGATTGCTTTTCCCAGCTATAACAACTGCTCTAATGAAAAACATTCTCCATGCATAGAAGCTTTGTTCTGCTTGTATTTGAGTTTTCATAGAATTTTGCATTAAAGTAACATACAGCAGTTAGGGAGTCTTCAAATATATACCATAGGAAACACTTTAATTATGGAAATGTGCTGTGCTAATAATTTTCACAGACTTTGCATGCAATGAATTCATCAGAGAGCCCTCAATTACAAGATGCAGCACTTTGTGGCACGATGCAGTCACAAATAAGAGAGATAACACATTCCCCAGCAATGATTTACATGTCAGTGTGCCAATGTTTCATTATTCTTGAGGCAACAGGAGGGCACAACTCCCTGGCAGCAAAACAGCTGATTTCATCTTTAAAAGGTAGAATTTAACCTCTTCAGTAAAGTGCTGGTTCAACTATAAGATGCTTACATAGACGACAATTGAAAAGCAAGCCGTGTGTCTGAGTACCTGTGGTTGTTTAGCACAGGAAGGATCAGCAGCTCTGCTGATGCCCAGCAGCCCTGAAGCCCTGGCCCTGCTGTGCCACCCTCCCTGTGCTCCAGCCATCCTCTGTCACACAGGGACAGATGTTTGCCCAGTGTCCCAGCACGTGTGACAGCAGCTGGGCTCAGCTCAGCTGTGCCATCCCCATCTGCCAGAGCCCCCACAGGGCACGGCCCCACCTCTGCTGTGCCAGCCCAGCATGGAGGCATCCCACAGAAACACAGAGACTGAACAGCTGTGGCCAAGGAGTTGCAGACCTGTGTTATTTGATCTGCTTGCTTAATTTTTTCTGCCTCTACCTCACCCTCTCCTTTCCTTGCCATGCCTTGCCTCCTGCAGTTCTTCACTCTTTTCTGCCCTTCCCTCACTTATCCCCTGCACTTAACATCCATTGGATCACAATTCAGAGAACTGGATCTCTTTTGAATATGGTTTCTCTCCATCTTGCTGTTTCTTACATCACCTGTCTTCATCTTTCCATTGCTTTTTCTCCTCCATGTTCCTCACTTTCTTCTTCTCAAAAGAGAAAAAATGTATCATGATCTCAGTTTTGACAATGACCCAGCCATCCACTGTGGGAACTTGGCTTCCCAGGTCTGAGG